GTCTGTCTGTCTGTCTGTCTGTCTGTCTCTCTGTCTCTTTCTCTCTCTCTCTCTCTCTCTCTCACTCTCTCATTTTCTCTCCCTCGCGTGCAAGCCCAACTTGGTCGTCGACGAGCGCCGTGCTGCAGGGGGTGCAACTCACTGACCCAGTTCCCTATCCTATTCCACGGAACAACGAACGCCACTTCCACCGCGCTTAGCGTGTACAGGGATGGCGCCTGGGCGGCTGCTCATGGGACTCCACTAGCGGAGCTCCACTAGGGACTCAATTTGAGGACCATCGTTCGATGACCGCGAACTGTGAACTGCTACGCGCCTGGCCCATTCAAGAAAAAACTGCGCCGCTTGTTTGTTTCGTTTGTTGGCGTCGCGTTCATGGCGGGCGCGATTGAGCGCGTTGGAACGCGCGCGCGCACACCGCGGGCGCAGGAAGCACGTGCCCAATTGCAGCATCGTCCAACGCGAAATTCGCCGGGGGGCGGCGGAACTCGCACCTAATTGCGCCACGCTTGGAAATTATCAAAATCGCAGACGAGCGAGCAGTGCGACCGCGCGCACCCTCACACAAACCAACATTGATCATCGACGAAAACCATGCTGCAGGGGAAGCAGCTCAATAATTCTGCGGCGTCCGAAGGCCACTAGATAGTGGCCTTCGGACGGAGTGGTCGATGAGGAATGTGCCAAATTTCAATTCCACCTCTTCCTCACCACAGCCTTCCTTCCCAAGGACGTCCACAGCCTTCCCAAAACACGCTAAGTGAGGCGAACTAGGTTCCACGCTAAGTGTAAGACACTTAGCGTGTATAGACATTTTTCCCAATACACGCTATACATAGATACCTGACCGTATACTGTCACGCTGTTGTTTTTTTCGCCAGGCAGATGCCCGATCGCAAAATTTCATTCATTGCCCCACCTCGCCGTCCTCCTCCAACCACCTCCTCCTCCTCCTCCTCCTCCTCCTCCTCCTCCCCCTCCTACCGCGAAGTTGACCCCGGAGGAAGAGGAATCGAGCAGGAGGGCACTCTAAACGAGGTTTGGCGGCCTTCGAGGTCACCACGACGCCCACCCGCAGTCCTCGTCTTCCTCCTCCGCCTCTTCCTGCTCCCCCTCCTCCCCCAGTCTCCCCTCCCCCCCGCGCACATAAGCCGACGACGACAAGACTGGCGCGAGATGCGGCGGCGACGACGAAGCCAGCGGCGGCGCTGGCTTCCACAACGACGACGACCACACGACGACGACCAACCCCTGCGCGCTCCTGCCCTGCGCGGCCGGCTCCGGCAACGTGGAGAATGTGAGCTTCTCCTGCGGGGGGATCGGCTGAGGAATCGGTCAAGGAATCAATCGGGAATCGACCCCCATATCTCGTATCGATTCTGAGATCAATACAGGAATGCGGATTCTGCATCATGTCCACACCCATGTGTTTCGAGATGTCGAGGGATAATGCAGCACTCATCGTCGAAAGCGTTAATAATTCGGGCCCGAGGAGTCCTCGTCGATCGTCGGGGATTTTGATTCGATGCTATGCGCGTCCGAAGATCAAGAATCGATGGTCGATGATTGAGCACCATGGGTAGAGCAGGAAGGGGGGAGACGATGAAACACAGGAGCATGATGATGTCGGAAGAAGGACACGAAAGGAGGATGAGGGGAGGAACAAAGGAGTAGGCGGGGCGAGGGAGTACAGGATGAAGGGGATGAAAGGGAAGGAAAGGAAGGGAGGCAGCTGTCGTCGACTTTGTTGTCGAGGATCGAAATTCGATGTGCTTCCCAAAACGACTTTTGCACTAATGAGTGTCTTACTTATCTTGCAAGGTAACTTGGCACCGGTGTCTGTCCGGCCGGCTCATCGCCGCCCGTCGCCGCCGTCGCCGTTGGGCCCAGGTGTCGATCCGCCCAGCTCGTCGCCGCCCGTGGCCGCGTTGCTATGCGTTGCATGCCTTTGCGCTGGTCTGAGTCATTTGGCGTTGCTTTGCGCAGCAGTGCGCTGCAACGTGTTGCATTGTTTCGTGTTGCATGTATTAGCGTTGTGTTGTGCTGCGTTGCACTGCGTTGCACTGCTGTGCATCGCGTTACGTCCGTTGATGTACATTGTCGCTGCGTTGCGTCGCGTTGTCTTGCTTGCGTTCTATTGCATTGGTTTGCGTGCCGTTGCTTTGCATTGCTTTGTGTTGCATCGAACCGCGCTGCGCATTGCTTTGCTTTGCCGTATGTTGCACCACGCGCCTCGCGCCATATGGATGGCACAACTCAGGCTGCGCCACGTTGATTGGCCACCTGGATGGCGCTACGTAGTTTGCGAGAAATCACTGGTCGGGGCCCAAGCTGGGTGACATCTGAGCGGTTTTGGCATTGTGACACTTTCTGAATCTCCAGAAGTGCCTGAGGAGGTCCAAAAGACCAATCATGTCCTCACAATTGTCGGCCAAGCCCCAATACCATCAAACAACAAACCGTGACGAACGACCTGTCTCAAGGACGAGCTCGATACTTCCGAGGGGTCCCAAACTGAACAACACTACGACGTGTGGCTGGCAGGAGGGAGACGGGATCGGGCAAGCCACGCGCGCTCACGCCATACCCGACCTCCTACCTGCTACCCCTTCATTGCTCGGATGTGTTCTCTATCCGTGGGCGCGTGTCATAGCGGACCTGGAACTCTCCATACGACCCCACCGTTTCATGCACGACTGGGAAACAAGGAGCTCCGCACATACCCTCCGCTTGACTGCGAGGGCCTACCTGCCTGGAGCGGTAGGGCCTTCCTGGCCTCGCCGCCGAATCGTCGGCGGAGGGACACTCCAAGGCTTGTAGGATCATGCCACATGCAAGTGAGAGGGAGAGGGCCGCAGGCCCGACGAAGCGTGCACCCCTTGCCGAGACCCGTGCGCCTGGGAAGGACAATCAACTCAATGCTGGCTGGCGTGGGAAGAACTCGACTGGCGCACTTCAATGCCTACTCCTTCACCTTGGCGTCGCGGTGGGTCTGGCATTGTTGTTGGTATTTCACCACGCCACTCCATTCTGCACGTGATCGGAAGCAGGTGGATGAAGGTGAAGGGCTGGGGAGCTCGGGTCGGGCCAAGTACTTCATGCTCTTGTCGGGGCGGCGGCGCGTAGGCGGGAGGCTTTGGACGCCCGAAATGGGTACGGAAAGAATGGGCACGATGCCCAACACCAAATGTTGTCCCAAACCAACAGCGGCCGCTGTTGGGCAGGCGGCCTTCTCTCGAATGGACACAGGCCGCGGCGGCGTGGACAGCGAATCCGGTTCAAAATGAACAGGAACTGCTGTTGGGCATTGGGTTGCACCTGGTCCTCGTGTCGCTACAAACCTCACCTTCGTGTACTCTTCTTGTGTATCAGGCCTAATAGAACTCCTACCAGGGGAATTACGAAAACATTAGTTTCAAACCTGGCCTTCGTGTCTTTCGCGCCAATGCCTACCTTCGTGCACTATTCGCTGTAGAGGCTGTAGATTGTATTCGTATTAGAAGCGAACAAAAAACGACAGTTTTACACCTGTCCTTCGTGTCGACGTCGGATTTGGAGCAACCGCCACTGCCAGCCGCTTCGTTTCGGCACAACCCTCTCGAGGATCGTGGGCCTGGCCCTCCGACGCGCGATTCCGGCGCGCACTTCACTAGGATCGTGGCCCTGGTCCAAGTGGGAGCGCTGCCGAAGGCCCACCGACGTCCAATTCCGGCACGCCGCTCACGAGGATCGTGTCCTGGCCCACCTGGGAGCGCTGCCGACGGCCCACCGATGAGCAATATCGGTGCACCCCTCACACGGATCGTAGACCTCGCCACATTTGGATCGCCGCCCGACGCTGAAGTTCGGCACACCTCTCACATGGATCGTGGCCCTGGCCCAATGTGGAGCGCTGCCGACGGCCCACCGACGCCCAATGCCGGAACACCCCTCACGAGGATCGTGGCCCTCTGGTCCACTTGAGAGTGGGTTTTCATAAGGACGTCGTTCTGGTTTTATTCGGGAAGGCATTTTGGTTTTATTCGTTTCTGGTTCGTGATAGGAGGAGGAGGAGGAGGAGGAGGAGGAGGAGGAGGAGGAGGAGGAGGAGGAGAGCTGAGGAGGAGGAGAGGAGGTGAGGAGGAGGAGGACGGTGACTCCTCCTCCTCGTCGGGGGAGGAGGAGGAAGGAGCAGGAGGGAGGGGCAGGAGGAGGAGGAGGAGGAGGAGGAGGAGGAGGAGGAGGAGGAGGAGGAGGAGGAGGAGGAGGAGGAGGAGGAGGAGGAGGAGGAGGAGGAGGAGGAAGAGGAGGGGGAGGAGGAGGAGGGGGAGGAGGAGGATGAGGAAGAGGAAAGCGAGCAGGAAAAGAGGAACGCTGTTTTCTCGTTTTTCACAATGGGTTTGCGAACCTCACCTTCGTGTACTATTGGCTCTATAGCCCCTGTATTGTTTTCTTACGAGCGAACGGCGACATTGTGAGTTTCCGAACCCCTTCTTCGTGTACTATTAGAATCAGTGGGCTTCCGAACCTCATCTTCGTGTATTATTAGCTCTATAGCCCCTGTATTGTTTTCCTATCAGCGAATGGCGAAAATGTGGGTTTCCGAACTCCTGCTTCGTGTACGATTAAATTCCGACTATTCTATGTTAGTCTATGTGGTTTAAACTGATTGTGTGGAACCGAACCCGAACCCGAACCCGAACCCGAACCCGAACCCTTACCCTTACCCATTCATTCTTAGTAGACACGAAGGAGAGGTTTAACCCTGGGCATTGTACCCATTCTTTCAATACCCATTTCGGGCGTCCAGAGAGCCGGTCGTCCCCGGCCGCTCTCTCTCGCTCTCTCTGCCGCGGGTCGAGACCGGTACTTCATGATCACGTCAGGCGAGCGGCGGCGGGGGCGGGGGCCGCCCAGCCCGGCGGCTGCTCTGCTCTCACCCCTCCCCTCTCAGGACAGCCCGTGACCTTCTTCCCGTCCAGGCTCATGAGACCTAGGAGCTCCGCTCCTGGGGTTTCCGCATCAGTTCGAGCTGCAACGAGATCTGCTGGGAGCGGTCTCTGAACTCTGTTCCTTGCTTGTACTGGCAGTGGTGAGCGTTCTGCGTTTGAAAGCCCAAGAGAGACAACTTCTGCTACCGCATACGACGCCAGATGTATCTCAAAACCTGTCTCTGATCGTGCGAGAGCTGTCCTGTGGCGTTGAAGACATCCCTGGTCGTAGATGCAGACTCAGCTTCCCGGGTCTGGTCTACAAGTGAGGTTCTCCGCTGATCGTTGTCGTTGGTCGCCTTCGACGTGATTACCCCAGCAATGCCTGACATCAGATTGTGGTTTCCTTCCTCCGGGGTGGTGTGTCTCCTACGGCAGCCTCCACAACCACGTACGGCCAAGCGTTGAGTTGGAGAGGGGGCTCGGGGCTCTGGGAATGCAAATTGGAAGGGGTCTGGCGCTGGGCTCGGGGGCAATCTTCATGCTATTACGTATAATGAACCGACATATCCGCAATCGTTGTTGTCGTAGATATACGTGCGGACCGCGACATAGTTGTAGATTTCTCCACCCCTGAAAGTGTAGTGCCATATCTAGATGCTGCTACCCGTCGTGACTGTCCCTCACGGCGTTGTCCTGGAGCATGGTGGCCTCTTGTGCCTGTCGGTGTTCGGGGTAGGTCTCTCTTGGCTGGGCTGAGGTGGTGTTGGTCCTCCAGTTGTGGCCCTCACGTGGCATTGCTGCTCTCTGGCCCTTGCTCCTGGCCTGGGCTTTTGCGAATTCTACTGCTCGCCATTGTCCTCGTTCTGCTTGTCGCTGACGCCCTGGAAATCCTCGTGGGTCTTGTTCTTCTTGCCGGTCGGGCACTCCTTCTCCTCCCCCTGCCTCACGAGGTCCACGATGCTCTTGGCCACGTGCACGTTGGGGGCCCGCTTTTGTTACCCTCCGAGCTCTGCTTGTCCTCGTAGGGTTTTGATCGCCTCCTTCACGTTCGCGTGGATCGGAGGAGGTAGCGTATGAGCGAGAGAAAAAGCAGGAGGAAAAGGAGGACGAGGAAAGATACGAAAAATGAGGAGGACTAGCCGCACTGGGAACATAAGTGAGATGAGCGGGAGGTGCAGGAGGAACAGGGGAAAGGAGGAGGCGGCACCGATGAACATGGACTGGCATCCAGTGGCCCGCGTTGGGGCGAGAGCGCCAGTCTGAACGACGGGAACAAAACGTCGATCCGAAAATTAGGCCCACGCTGCAGCGGGAGAACCATCTTGACGCACCGAAAACCATCGGTGCAATCGAAACGATACGCGGAGAGGGCAGGAGATTTTCCGGAAAGCGTCACAGGAGAGAGGAGCGTAGTATTCATAGTCTGTAACTTGCCATCGCTCAGACGTCCATTCCCTGTGCATGTTTCATCTTCGTACGTTTGTTTCTCCGCGAGATGATCCAAGATGCTCCTCGATGGTCCTCGCCGAGAAAAGCAAGGGGCACGTCCAAGCGATGCCAAGGTAATTGTAGAGGGAGTGCGGGAGCAGAGGGATGCTTGGGGGGAAGGGGATCAAGGACAGGCGCTTGCTGACGTTGTGGCGCCCGTGCTTGCCTGCGACATGGGGGAAACATAGGCGCCCAAATCGGTCCTCTGCACTCTCCCTCTGCCGTCCTTTTCCCCTCCCTCCCCCTATTCCTCCTCCCCTCTCGCGCGCGCAAAGGGGAAGGAGGATGGTGGAGGAGAAGGATGCAGGGTGGAGAGGATGCAGGCGAGGAGGCGGCAGAGGAGGGAGGAGAATGGACGAAAGTGGGAGGAGTGCCACGAATGCGACGGCGACGCCAGCGCCAACCGACCGCCGACGACGGTGGCCGAGGCCGAACACTTGCGGCGACGGGTGGCGGCGAGGCCGAGCGCTCCTCGGCGCCGCCGCCTTCAGCGTCCGTGGCAGCGCCGAGGGCGTGGAGCCGCGTGGCCGCGTCCAGCAGGTCGCCTTGCAGGGGGGGGCGGGCCTGGGAACGTCGGCAACGAATACGGCGACGGCCACGGCAATTGCGACGACACTGGCGGGGGCCTTCGAGCGCAAGGGCCGCCGTCGCTCGTGCATCGTCCGTCGTCCGCGTTGCCAGCGCTGCTGGTCGGTCGACGTCGGTCGTGGTCGTTCGTAGCTATCGTCGTCTTCGTCGTCCTCGTTGCTTCCGTCGTCGTGCACAGTCGTCGTCGTCGTCGTCGTCGATCACGTCGTCATTGCAAGCGCCGTCGTATGCGTGGTCACAGGCGTCGTGGATCTTTTAGCTGTTGTTGTCGTTTTCTTCTTCGTGCTGGCTTTCATCAATGTCTCGCCGACGTCACGATCGTCGGAACAAGGGGAGGGAGCAATACGACTAAATTAGCCTGGCGAAAGACCCAACCATATGCAATTGCGAGCACCGTCGTTGTATGCTCCGCGATCGGAGGAGCTCCCTATAGGGCCACGAAACGTGTGAGGGGTGTACCAAAATTTGTCCAGTGGGCGCATGCGAAAGCAGCCACTGGGGCCGTCGGTGGAATTCCCTATGGGGCCACAAAACGCGTGAGAGGTGTGCCGAAATAGGTGCGGTGGGCGCATGCGACCGCAGCCACTGGGGTCGTCGGTGGAGCTCCTGATGGGCCGCGAAACGTGTGAGTGGTGTGCCGAAATGGGCGCGGAGGGCGCATGCGAACGCAGCCAGTGGCGCCTTCGGTGGAGCTCCCTATGGGGCAAGGAAACCCGTGAGGGGTGTGCCGAAATGGGCGTGGGTGACGCATGCGGGCAGTGGCACCGGGGCCGTCGTTGGAGCTCCTTATGGGGCCGCGAAACGTTTAAGGGATGTGACGACATGGGTGTGGGTGACGAATGCGGGCACACCCACTGGGACCTTCGGTGGAACTCCCTATGGGGCCACGAAGCGTGTGAGAGGTTCACCGGAATGGGGCGGCGCCGCCACGCGAACTGCGCCACTGAGACCTTAGGTGGGTCTCCCTATGGGGCCACGAAAACTTGTGTGGGGTGTCCCAAAATGGAGCGGCGCCGCCACGCGAATTGCGACACTGGGACCTTAGGTGGAGCTCCCTATGGGGCCACGAAGCGTGTGAGGGGTGTGCCAAAATAGAGCGGCGCCGCCATGCGAACTGCGCCATGGGGCCCTTAGGTGGACCTCCGTATGAGGCCACGAAACGTGTGAGGGGTGAGCCAAAAGGGAGCGGCGCCGCCATGCGAACTGCGCCACTGAGACCTTAGGTGGAGCTCACGATGGGGCCACGAAACGTGTGAGGGGTGTGCCAACTTGGGGCGGCGCCGCCATGCAAACTGCGCTTCTGGGACCTGAAGTAGAAGTCCCTATCTGGGGCCGCGAAACGTGTGAGGGGTGTGCCAAAATGGGGCAGCGCCGCCATGCGAACTGCGCCAGTGCGACCTTAGGTGGAGCTCCAATGGGGCCACGAAACGTGCGAGGGGTGTGCCGAAATGGAGCGGCGCCGCCATGCGAACTGCGCAACTGGGACCTCAGATGGAGCTCCCTATGGGGCCACAAAACGTGAGGGGCGCGAACTGGACCACTGGGACCTTACATGGAACTCCCTATGGGGCCACGAAACGTGTAAGGGAAGTGCACAAATGGGGCGGCGCCGCCATGCGAACTGCACCACTGGGACCTTCAGTGGAGCTCCCTACGGGGCCACGAAACGTGTGAGGTGTGTGTCGAAATGGGGCGGCGCCGCCATGCGAACTGCGAAGGAGGAGGGGGAGGAGGAGGGAGGAGAGGAGGAGGAGTGAGACACGGGGCGCTGTCTCTTCAAAAAACGACCCAACACCACAGGATGGTTGGGACAAACATGCACCCCCGACGTGGGGCGACACGGCTCACAATCCACACCAACCTGGCCGCTAGATCTGCATGGCAGAAAGTGTCTGTAGTCTGCCTTTGACTATTTGGTAGCTTGGAATTGACGCCCAAGGTCGAAGGTCGCACTGTGAACGGAAGGAACACTTTGCGCGGGCGCGGGCACAACTCGTGATCGAATGATAGCATTTGCACCGCCGCGAGTCGCGAGTGCCCAACACAAGAATAATACGCATGGCAAAAACAACCAACGGGCACAAACGATCCCATATCCATGGCGGGTGCACTTGTCAACGTGGGCCCCAGAACTCTGCGTCGTTTGCCCCGACGGCCCCACCTACGGTGCCAAGCTCGCGTTGTCGTGATGTCCGTGGTCCCACCGTGCGAGAGATATAGGGCGATGACTGCAATGACCATCTAGAAGACCACTTTCAGAAACTGCCACGAACGAGATCCATTTGAACTATCGATCGGCGTTGACTAAATAATTACCCTATGCTCACTTGCGTAAGAGACAAAACAGGAGGCGGAACAGAGAGAGGGGTCCCATCATCCTGCCTCTCTGCGATCTCCCACCAGACTTCACCGCCGCCCGCCTATGCACTTGCCCTTCTCGAGCGGGTCGTAAGCCTTGAACTTGGCAACCTTCAGCGAGAACGGCGTCGCGATGGCGGTCCTGTTCTCAATTACTCCAGGAGATTCTAGAAGGCGTTCAAACTGAGTTTGCTGCGTCATGGATTCTTCTTCAAAAATGATTCAAAAGCCAGAAGGACGGAGGAGGACAACGAGCAGGATAACGAGAAGCGACAGAACAGGAGTGCCACGTTCTCTGTATACTCACTCTGCATCCTGGCCTGGCCCTCCTCCTCCTGCCCTCCCCCTCCTCGGCTTCTTTGTTCTTCTATTATTCCCTCCCTTTCCTTCTCCTCCTTCTCCTCCTCCGCCTCCTCCTCTTGACTTCTACTGCGGCACACTCTGACCAGAATTGCAAGGCGATCGCAGCAGCGCCGACGAGGGCCTCTCAGGACGCGCCCAGAAATAATAAAAAACAACAGAATCCCCCCCTCCTCCCTCCTCCCTCCCTCCTCCTGCAGCCCTCCTGTTGTACAGCGTCAACTGCAATGACCTCGACTTCAACAGCTCCATTGTACCGAAATCCACCATCGGCATGCCGGGCTGTGCAGGCCCTGGCCCAGGGGGCGCTGCGGGGGCGAGGACACGAATGAATAGTACGATGGGGACGATGGAGGGGACGAGGAGGAGTGAGAAAGGCACAGAGAGAGAGGGAGGAGTAGGCACATGGAAAATGAGACTGGGGAGAAGGGGTGAGGCCGGCAGCCCCTCCTCGCCTTCGTCCTGCACATCCTCCTTCTGATCCTCCCTCCTCCTCGTCGTCCTCCTCTCTCTCTCTCTCTGTCTCTCTCCTCTCTCCTGTCTCTCTCTCTCTCATCCTCTCTCTCTCTCTCTCCTCCTCCTCCACCTCCTCCTCCACCTCCTCCTCCTCCTCCTCCTCCTCCTCCTCCCCGACTATCCGCTTTCTTCAGATCGTCATCCGTCTTCTCAATCCTATCTGCGCCCCTCCTCCGTCTCCTCTCACCGGCATCCTCTTTCTCCCCCTCCTCCTCTTCCCCTTTTGCGGCCCCTCCCTTCTCTTCCTCCTCCTCCTCCTCCTCCTCCTCCGCCTCCTCCTCTTCGCCGGGGGTACCAAAAAATACCGATACCGCTACTCCGCGGACCGTTCCTGGGGTGCGTTCTAGCGGTAGGACGAAGGCCTCCCAGGAGGCCCAAAAAAGCGAAAGCACGGCCAGGGTTGCAGTATCGGAAACGTTTCCTCCCCTGATTCTCTCCTCGCTACCCGTCTCTCTGCGGCTGGGAACCTCATGCGGCAAGCAGCTGCACGACGACGTGCGCTCGGGTTTCTGCCACCGTGCGGACCTCTCTGCCTCAAGAGGTTTTCGCCGTTGGGGGCGCACGACAACGCCCGCGCCCCCGCTGCGCTGGGACGGCGCGGACCTACAGTACACCCGCGTCTCTCCATGGGGGCACCAAAGTTCGTGACGCCCAGGAGGGCGAGGCGGAGCAGGGGAGCAAATCTCGAGGAGTCCCATGGCAATCACATCTGCATGAGGCCTCACGGTGCCACTTATGACTCAGGTGGTGGCCAGCCAGCTACGATAGTTCATTTGCCGAGCGGCGAGCTGCACGATCCCACACAACGGGCACTTTCCCTGGCCTGCACCCTCCTGGGCACGCAAACCCAATGAGGGGCGGAGGACGGGGAGGAGGACGAGGAGTGGCACGGAATGGAGTGCACCCCATCGCGGTGCGGCATCATGATAAAGCGACGACGCCGAACCACAAACTGCGAGGAGACCCCTCAGCTGGTCGGCAAGTCCTTGTGCCACTGCTCGTCTTCAAGACGCAGTAGCTCTCTCCATAGATATAAATATATGTGTATATATAGATGTGTGTATACACATACATGTGAACGAGTATCGAAGACGCGTGGGATTAGCAGGACAGACACTACATGGCCTAACGAGGGGGACCCTCAACTGGGAGCTCCCATAATACCCACACGTGTAAAGAAGAAGGAGGAGGCGGAGGAACAGTGGAGACAGGCGCCCGCCAAGGTGAACGCCCTCGTTTCAGATATTATCACTGCTCTTCAGCCGCTGATCTTCTCTTCGACCTTGCCAGGCCCATCCTGTGCCCAGGGCCCAGGGTGTGCCCGCGTGGCCGAATCAGTACAGCATATGCCATACACTCATCAAGCTCAGCTGAGTTGTGGATCTTCTCACGGGCGCAATGCGCTTGAGACTTCGAGCACTGCCCCCTGGGATGGTCCGAAGAAACGGGCGAGAATGGATGGGGTAACGCACCGCGCACCCTTGCAGAAATAGCAAATCCTTGAACGTATCAAGTCCTCGCGTTGACGACGACATGAATCATGGTTATAACAATCTCCGCTCTCGGAATTCCCAGAGACTGTCGACACCATCTTTCGCATGACGGCGGTGCGCCAAGGAGGGGGAAGCGAGAGGGGGCAGGCCATCTCAGAAGGCTGGGACGGCGTCGGGCCCTCTGAGAAGTTTATAACCCGTCTCCGAAACTTTCCCCGGGCTCCATGTCGAGCCGCGTTGCCGATGCATCGGCGATGCGGCGCGATCCTCCGACCCCATCCACTCTGACCCCATCCGGGAGGCCTAGACAAAAACCCTCGACCCCATCTTCTGTGTGGATCCTGAGACGAGCCCTCCCGAGGGCGTCCGAATCTGGAGCTCCCGCGCGTGGCCCCAGGGCGGGCTGGGCGATTTGCGCAACGCCTCGCACCACGGTTTCGAAACTTCCTGGACATGAAACACATGAGCAGCGGGAAGAAGCGGGTCTGATGGTACTTACGCGCTATGACATAGCGACCTTTACGCCGCGGCAGACGCGGGCCACCAATGCGGTATGCTGCATTGGGGACGAGGGTGTTTACACGCGAGCTTACGCGGGAAACTTGCGCGCGAATGTCGGCGCAAGGGACCCTGCCTTCTTCCGTCGCGCACATGGGCGGAGTCTCTTCTTCATGGGGTTGTCGCTGTAGCGCCGCGCACATTCCTCTGCAAGCGTCCACCAATCAAACGAATGAAGGGTTTTTTTCTTCCAAGTTCCCAGAAAACTGTTTGCAAGTAGGGGCTCTCATTTGTTTGTTTAAGAGAACTGGGCCTGTGTGGCGGTCCGGTGGCCACGTCGTCGCCGTCTCCGCCCCGTCGCCGCCTCGTCGCCGCCCGCAGTCTGGGCCTGTGTGGCGGTCCGGCGGCTATGTCGTCGCTATCGCCGCCCCGTCGCCGCCTCGTCGCCGCCCGTCGTCTGCTGCGCCTGACTGCCGGTTTCCCGGGAAGCATATATTCTCCACTATACCAAGAAAATCCCCCCACTTCATCAATCCACTTGGTCGTATTGCAATTTACATATGACTCTGCCCAATCGCTCATCCGTTCTATGAACTCGCACCATCCAAGCAGAACTGGTATCGACCCCCCCCCCCCCGCCATATTCAGCACAAATATACTATGCGCGCGCACTCGCGTATCACAGAGCATACGTTTTCAATCATCCATGGCAAAAAATGGGACGAAGTGCGCACGCGCGTGCCGTCGCGCACGCATGCCGAAATCTTTGATAAACCTTCAGTTTCGGAAGGATCCCGCAATCGAGTGTCCGACAGGCGTATTAAACATATGGTTCCGCAGAGCAGATTTCCAAATATCAAGAAAGCGCGTGCGCGTTCTTTTGCACTTTTTATATGTAGGGACATATGATGTGTTCAACCTGTTCAGACATGTTACCAAACGGGTTTCGCGCGCGCATGTCGGAATCGTTCGAACGCCTTTGCGCGCGTGCCATCGCGAGAATTATTTGCAAAACGTGCGACGACGTGCGCACGCGCGCGTCGTCGTGCGCGCATGCCGAATCCTTCAAATTCTTGATTTCGCAGCGGTTCCGAAGCCGAATGTCCAATCAACACTCAAACACACAAGGTCTCGCAATATCAGCTTTCCAATATCAGCCAGCGCTGGCTCCAAATATTTTCCCCCCTTTTTCCTCCGGAGCCCGGGGGTCCCCCTCCCCCCCCCCTTCCCGAAAATCCCCAACCCCCCTCTGCTGGATCCCCCCCCCCTCCCCCCCCCTCCCCCGGCAAAACCCCCCCCCCCCCCTCCCCCCCCCCCTCCCCCTCGAAAACCGGGGGTCACTACCGTTCGAACCCCCCCCCCCCCTCGAAAACCGGAGGGGGGTCACTACGGTCCGAACCCCTCCCCCCCCCCCCCCACTCACCGCCAGCAAACGATTCCCGGTCCCTACTACCGTCCGCACCACATCCTCTACTGTTGTTCCCACACCACTGTCCTCACCACCACTGTCCCCACTGGTTCCACCACCGTCCCACTGTCCCCACCAGTGCCCCCACCATTGTCGCACTGTCCCCACTGTCCCCACCACTGTTCCCACCACTGTTCCCACCACGGTTCCACTCTCCCCACTTTCTCCACGGCCCCAGCCACTGCCCGACTATCCCCACTGTCCCCACTGTCCCACTGACTCCTCCGCTGTCCCAGTGAGCTGTCCCACTGTTCCCACCACTGTTCCCACTGTCCCCGCCACTGTCACCACTGTACTTTTGTCCCATTGTCCCACCGCCGTCCTCGCCACCGCCTTCACCACTGTCCCCACCACCACTGTACCGTCCACTGTCCCACTGTTTCCAACACGTTCCCACAGTCCCCACACCACTGTCCACTGTCCCCACTGTTCCCACCATTGTCCTCACTACCGTCCCCACCACTACCGTCCCCACCACTGTCCCACTGTCCCCACCACTGCCCCGCTGTCCCCTCGCCACTGTCCCCACCACCGCCGTCCCCACCACTGTCCGCACCCCCCCTCGGTTTTCGAAGGGGGGGGGGGGCTCGAACAGGTAGTGATCCCCCTCGGTTTTCGAAGGGGGGGGGGTTCGAACCGGTAGTGACCCCCCCCCTTTCATGATGGACGGGGGGGGGAGGGGCTCGAACCGGTAGTGACCCCCCCCGGTTTTCCGGAGGGGGGGGGAAGGGGTTCGAACCGGTAGTGACCCCCCCGGTTTTCCGCCAGCAGCGGTAGAGCACGCTCTTTCAAACATATACGTCAAACACAATCAAAGAATCAGATGAAGCAGACATGCTTGGAATCCGCAGTTCCACAAGCAAGCAAACGTGCAAGCAAACGCGCAAACGCGCAAGCAAACAACCAACCAAGCAAGCAAGCGATCGAGCAATCGTGCAAGCGTGCAAGCGCGCAAGCAAGCAAACGCGCAAGCAAACATAGGCATAGGCAGGGGAGTGCTCCGAGGTGGTGCGTAGGCATAAGCATAGGCATAGGCATATGAGCGCTCAAAGGTGGTGCGTAGGCATAAGCATAGGCGTAGGCATAGGCATAGGAGTTTTGGGGGGAGGCATAGGCATTGGCATACGCACAAGAATCAAATGGGGGGCATAAGAATTAGGGGGTAACGGACCAAATAGTAGGGTTTGAACTCGGATTCCTATAGGGCAAGCCGATTTGGAGAAAAAACTTGCGCGCGCGCCAGCGATTTTTCAAGAAAGCCCATCATCGGTTCTTCGACATTTTCGTGGAATTCAACTAAACGGGCCTCTGGCGCCGC